TGTTGCTAGAGTATATGGTTGATAGAGTTTGTTCTGGGTGATTACAGACATTCCCACCTCTGTTAATAACAGAAAATCAAACATTGTTTTCAAAACTGATCCAGTTTCAGTGCTTTGATATTATTGTATTTCTTTCTAATGCTAGGAAATTAAAAAGTTTTTGTTGCTCTTAAACTTGCACTAAACGTGAATATTTGTGAACACAACTGTGTATGTCAGACCATAAATCCCCAAAAACTATGCATGGGGGCTTGCTTTGGTGCTGCCACCCTTCACAGACCCCATGCCACCCCTTTGCCACCCTAAAAATTATTTTCTAGATCCGCCCCTGGCGATGACACGGTTTATTCTCTGTTATAAATGTGTTTACTTGATTCACCTGCTGATGGGGGGAGGTGTCTGGGGGAAATAGTTGGGGGGTGGGGCCTGGTGTGCGAGGGAGAGTAGAGTCCATGGTTGGAGTTCGGCTGCGGGGAAGAGAAAACTGAGCCTTCTGCGTTTTATTATTTTTGGGAAAGTTAGGACGCCTCCTGATACCCATTGTTTAGGTAATTTTCAGGAAATAAACGAAGGCCGTTGGCTGCTGTTGAACTGGATCTTCGTCTGCTGCCTATTTATTCTGGGAAGTGGCACTACACTACAATATTAACAGATTGTGAGCTTGTAGGCTAGCTTTGCAAGCAGTTTCAGAATAGCTTTCACAATGCAATGCTCTCAACCTGACCTTCCATTTCTAGTGTGCTTTTTAGTCAGTTTCACCAGCTTTCTCTTTCAGGTCAATTAAGTATCAAACAAGTTAAAAAATAATCTTGCTAGTGAAGTTAGTTAAACTGCAACCCTGTTTATAGCCATCTTAAACATGCAAAGTAATGATGTCAAATGACAACAAAGTGGCATGCAAAAATGTTTGAAAAGTTTATTGTTGCAGACTGTTTCATACTAAATAGCTGGCAGTGTAAAGAATATACTGTATATACCTCACAGTATGCTTATATTCCATAAAAGTAAACAAGAATAAACTTATAGTTTATTTAAAAAGACTGTTCTGATGTGATCAAAGCCCTGAAAAAGAAAATAAAACAGAATAGAAAAAGACAGAACAACATCTACACCTTTAAAGCGGCCAGGCAGTACCCCAATGGCAGCGGCCTGGCTGAGTGCCTCATCGATTCTTACCTGCCCGAACAACTTCAGCTTAAGAGCGGAAGATATGTGGCTCTGAGACTTTGCATGTCTTTCCATAGCTCTTGCTAAATTCTTCATATCGTTGAAACCAGTCGTAATCCATGGATTGAATCCTCCAGTTGATTCGTCAAATAGAAGACAAGGCCAGCAGAAGAGTTTGTTCAAGTTCACTGAGCCTGTTAGCCACTCGGTTTTGCTAAATAATTTGTTTCTAAAACCGCATAATTCCATTCGGCCGCATAATGAAGGTTGTTTTATGGCCAGATTAGGCGTGGGTCTTCCTTCATTTTTTATTTTTAGCTGCTGCTCAAAAGGGAGCTTTTTAAATTTATTTGCGATATAATATTCAATATCTCGTCCCTCCATATTTACTACATTATAGATGCCACAGAGTCGTTCAAGCATATTACAACGTCATTGATGTCTCAACGGTGATTGGTTGATAAACCAAGGGAGGCTAGCCTCCTCTGTAATTTTTGTAAGCCATTAAGAAATAGAGCCGCTCTGCTGACGCATAGAAATACTCGATGCTGATTAGTTAATTTTTTATCAACGGAGGCCAGAATCTCCATTTTTGGATTGTGCTTCCCCCCCTCCCCTTCTCTATCCAGAGATGTTCACGGAGAATACAGCAGCGGTAAAACACAGGGGATTCCGACTTAAGTAATATTTTATTGTTTGCAATGGTGAAATTACAATTAAGAAATACACATTATGAAGACATCAAATATTATACTGAGATTTCATTAACATTAAATTGTAAGCTACTATTACTATTTTTACACCTCAAAATTTTGCGTAGGCTGTGCCTCCCCTGCCGAGCCGCCACTGTTCAGAATTATTCTAGAACTGATGTGAGCGTTCCACTGTAGAACCCATCGGAACATTATTATTATGTTATTATATTATAACATTATTATTTTGTGGGAGTTTCACTGTAGAAGCCCTCAGAAACATTCAAGAACCATTTGAGGGTCACAATAAATAATCATTTAGAACCATGTGAGAGCTACAATGTCCGATTCTACAGAACCACTCTAGAATTATGTAGAATCCATTTCTCAACAGCTGTGAGGACTCTATGATAGATTCCTAAAAGATAAACTGAGGGTTAGAACTTAGGGTTACAAAATGAAATTGCTTCAAGAATCACACTCAGGACATTTTCATTTGTAAATCATTTGCTTTGTTCTGAAACAGGGACTTAAATTGAATTTGGTTTTATACATATACATTTTATGTATATTAGAGTGGGAAACCAATTATGTGTGCATGTACATATACCTATAAATATATTAGAGTAGGAAGGATGGCTTCACTCTTGTTTTGAATTACACAACATTTTAAGATTAAGCGTTTTTTTTTTTTTTTAAAGCAAACTAATGTGCTCACCCAGATAATCAGACACTGCTGCTTTTGAAGTAACGCATTTGCCATTATGAATTATACAGTTTGGTTCACTGGTCCATTGAGTCAAACTGCTTTCTCACCACAACTAACCCGCTTCACAGATTGTTTTCAATCTCCTTGTTCAGGCGATCTCGGATTGTTTTGGTGTGACTTTCGTGTTTATATATGCCAAAATGAACCAAACTAAGAGAGAAACGCACCAGGTTATGAAACAAACACTCCAAATGAGCCAGGTGTGAAAACGCACTTAGAGAATACAATCAGGTCTAGAACTGTGCAACTCACTGAATACCATCCACCCCACACTACTATAAAAAGTTTCATTTTTTGTCTGGCCACAAAACTATTAATTTCATATCCATGGACACTTTTCCTCTGAAAGCTTTCATATTCCTCATCTCGTATGCGTGTGCGTCTGACTGCAGCTGAAAGGTTGAACTGGTTTTTTAACACATACACATGCACGTGGCCTCAATTTCAAAACAGAAAATCATTCTCAACTCCATCATCATCGCGCCACAGGATGAGAAACCCACTTCAAAGAAATCTCATTAACCTCAACACAGAGACAACATCCGCACATTTGCAGAAGAAAACACAAGGCCTGTCATGGAGAAATACTCAAGAGATGAATAATACTTTCTCTGTCCTGATTTGCCTTCTTTTATGGCGGAGACAAGCTCTGTGACGTACAGAGGCAGCCATGTAATGTTTTATATTCATTTTGTTTATTGGTATGGAACCACAGATCAATTATTAATTAACATCTATTAAAGTTGTGTTGAGTTAATATTTAAAGAAAAGCGCTTTCAGCTAAAGACAGAATTAAAAAATCTCTAATTACCTTAATCACTGGTTGTGAATGATGTCTATTTTTGTACAAACCACCAAACTGTGAAATATTCATCAGATTCTATGAAATATAGATATCTGTAAGTGAACCTACAAGCTAAAAGAGATGAAACAATCACTACACCAAAGGATTAAACCACGTATTCTTTATGAGAGCACTTTACATGTGATACGGGCTAATGAAATATTTATGAAAAAAAAAAAAAAACACTCAGCGTTTGAGTGTTATCCATCATAAATTGCTTCTAACGGAGTTCAGTTCTTACAGTAATGTTGCACATGGGCACATGATGTAAGTTTTGTGAAGTTTTACAACATCAGTTCTGCTTCATTAATGCTTTGATGATTATTTAATGATTTAAACCACAATAAATACTGTTATTTACCTTAAAGGCAACTATTTATTGCGGTTATTCATACAAAACTGAAACTATGTTTACATGCAAATCAATATCAGTATTTGGTCATACTCTGATGTATGCGTGATGTAAATGCATTATTTAACACAACTGCCAAATGACTGTATACAAATGAGTAGCAGAGAAAAAGTGCATATAGTTTATTTGGAAAATTTTGATTACTTGGTATATTCAAACCTTTGAAGACCTTTGTGTCTTTTTCAGAAAAAAAGCTTACAGGAACAGTTCACCCAAAAATGAAGATGTACTCACCCTCAGGCAATCCAAGATGTAGACGAGTTTGTTTCTTCATGGGAACAGATTTGTGGAAATGTAGCATTACATCACTTTCTCACCAATGGATCTTCTGCAGTGAATGGGTGCCGTCAGAATGAGAGTCCAAACAGCTGATAAAAACATCACAATAATCCACAACTAATTGACATGACTTCAGTCCATCAATTAACCATCAATCTTGTGAAGTGAAAAGCTGCACGTTTGTAGGAAACAAATCCATCATTGAGGCGTTTTAACTTTAAGCCATTGCTTCCAGCCATAAAAATACAAGTTCATAATCCATAATAATGCATCCTGCAGTGAAAAATTCATCCAATGTTGTCCTCTCACATCAAAATCCACCCACATATTTCTTTAGAACTATTATGGACATTTTTCACTCGTAAACTGTGCATATTTCTCTTTCATATTTATCTTAAGACTTTTTCACTGGAGGAAGCAATATCTTGGATAGAGGTCTTGCATTTTAGGCTAATGCAAACGTTTATGTTAAAAACGTCTTGATGGATTTGTTCCTTACAAACACTTTTGCTTCACAAGACTGATGGACTGGAGTCGTGTGGATTGCTTGTGGATTATTGTGATGTTTTTATCAGCTGTTTGGACTCTCATTCTGATGGCACCCATTCACTGCAGAGGATCCATTGGTAAGCAAGTGATGTAATGCTACATTTCTCCAAATCTGTTCCCATGAAGAAATAAACTCATCTACATTTTCGATGGCCTGAGAGTAAGTACATTTTCAGCAAATTTTCCTTTTTGAAAATTATTTTGAAAATTATTTCTTTAATATGTATCTTACTCTGAAAACGATCTTCATATAAACATGGCTACTGTTTTCTCTATGTGCAAACTCACAGCTCACCTCCAAAGCCTTGTTGAGCATCTCTTGCTGGTCGTAGCTGGAGCTGTTGGTCTCCAGAGCATCTTCGTAGAGGTCGACCAGGAAGGCGGTGAGATATGGAGAACTGCATGTGTCCCGAAGCTCCGTCACCTGTTCCAGCAGTCCAGGATACGAGGACAGCCCACCATCCTGTAGGATCCTGAGTCACAGAACAGATGTTTGGAGACAAATCACAATATATATGCAATGTTTAAATTCATGCAAATATTATACACATTTATTTATTTCCAATTATTGATTTATTACATATACATTTTTTTCCAAGCATGAGCAACAATAATGGTGATGCTTGCCTTGGCAAACACTGTTAATGATCCATGTTATGTTTTTGCCAGTATATAGTCATAAACATTCAGTCAGGCTCTTCAATGAAAACTGTGTTTGTGTGTTCTGTGGTGAGCATCTGCCATCTGCTGGTCATAGGTTTGAAAGTACAATCCACAGAAAATTGGTTGACTTTACAGGCTGTTTATATCTATTTGCAACACCCACCCATTTAAATAGTTCCAAGCGCTCTCGTTGTGAGGAGCTTTCTTTATTTGTTTCAGGGTGTACCTAAAGAGAGAAAGACAGAGAGAGAGAAAGGGAAAGAGAGGCACTGAATGGTTTTAATTGGTCATATTTGCTTTTCAGTAACAAATAATAATCTTAATATGTAAATTCTACGGAAACAGTTTCTTTAAAAGCAGGTGGAACCAGATAAACATTGACATGTTGGATGTCATGTTACACAACAAACAACCACACTAGCGTGTTCTTCAGATAAGCAGCTTTAAGTAATTCATATGAGCAGCACTGTGACTCTCTAGTAATATGTTAAGCATTTTATATGATGTAAATTTTTATTAATGTTAATGAAAGGCACTGTTATAGAACTAGGAACTGTTATTATAGCCTGTTTCCATAAATTACAAAAAAAATGTAATTGCAATTTTTATCTCAAAATTATTTTCTATGGCAATTCTGAGTTTATATCTCACAATTCTGCCTTTTTTTACTCGCAATTCTGACTCTTTTTCTTTCAATGAATCAATATAAATTCAGAATTGCACAATATAAACTTGCAATTCTGAGAAAAAAGTCTGAATTGTGAAATATAAACTTGCAATTACCTTTTTTATTTTGTTTTTTTCCATGATGGAAAAACAAAACAAAACAAAATAACAGAATTGCGAGATGTAAAGTCAGAATTATGAGAAGTAAACTTGAAATTGTGAGGGGGGGGAAAAGTCAGAATTCTGATTTTCTATCTTGCAATTACGACTTTTTTTCTCAGAATTGTGAGAAAAATCTGAACTCAACTTCTCGTTATTGTAATTTTTCGGATGCAGTTACTGAATAATCACTCAAATGCATAAACCAAAACTTTGAAAGCCTGAGAAGCGTGACATAAGAGTAAAAACAAAGGATAACCAAAACAAAAATGTAATTCAAGGCCAATTTTTATAACTTCATGTGATCATTTGTATATTTGCAAAGCTTTTTAGAGCAAAAAGGCTCTGATTTGGTAATGAAAGAGACTCACTGCACTTCTCTGTCGAGGATGGATGAGTCGGAGTATCCACTGGTGTGATTAATGACAAAGTGTCTCTGATTCCAGGCAGAGTTATTCCTCACGTCCTCCTCTAATAGTTCCTCCACATACTCCAGCTCTCCATCCCACAGTTTATACTCCTGTGACACACAGAGATGGACCATGAACATGCATGCAGATCAGCAAACAGTTACACAGCACACTGGATCTGGATCTGTACCTGCATGACCCACTGTCTGTGCTGCCACGCGTGGTAGTTCTTGGCATCTTGACTAAGAATTTCTGCTACAAACTGCAGCTCTTCAGACGGCTCGTTCAGCCACTCCACCACCATCCGCCTGTGATGCCTGCAGATTTGCACAAATTGTTTAATAATCAATAATAAATAACAGGGCTTGACTTGTATGTACTTATAGTTTTTTATTAATATTTTTAATCTGTTTTTATTCTTAAATTTTCCATTTTTAATTTTCTTTGTGTGTGTGTGTGTGTTTTTTACGGTGTAACAACAAAGCACCGCAATGGATCGGCGATTCTTGTTCATCCTATCAAATACATAAATTTCTGTCAATTCTCTCTCATAATCATAATTTTTATGTGACTCTTTCTGTCTCACATTCATTCGTACTTTCTATCCTAGTTATCTGTCCCTGAACAGGGTTCATCTGCTTGGGAAAGAGAGGCACTGAATGGTTTTAATTGGTCATATTTGCTTTTCAGTAACAAATAATAATCTTAATATGTAAATTCTACGGAAACAGTTTCTTTAAAAGCAGGTGGAACCAGATAAACATTGACATGTTGGATGTCATGTTACACAACAAACAACCACACTAGCGTGTTCTTCAGATAAGCAGCTTTAAGTAATTAATATGAGCAGCACTGTGACTCTCTAGTAATATGTTAAGCATTTTATATGATGTAAATTTTTATTAATGTTAATGAAAGGCACTGTTATAGAACTAGGAACTGTTATTATAGCCTGTTTCCATAAATTAAAAAAAAAATGTAATTGCAATTTTTATCTCAAAATTATTTTCTATGGCAATTCTGAGTTTATATCTCACAATTCTGCCTTTTTTTACTCGCAATTCTGACTCTTTTTCTTTCAATGAATCAATATAAATTCAGAATTGCACAATATAAACTTGCAATTCTGAGAAAAAAGTCTGAATTGTGAAATATAAACTTGCAATTACCTTTTTTATTTTGTTTTTTTCCATGATGGAAAAACAAAACAAAACAAAATAACAGAATTGCGAGATGTAAAGTCAGAATTATGAGAAGTAAACTTGAAATTGTGAGGGGGGGGAAAAGTCAGAATTCTGATTTTCTATCTTGCAATTACGACTTTTTTTCTCAGAATTATGAGAAAAATCTGAACTCAACTTCTCGTTATTGTAATTTTTCGGATGCAGTTACTGAATAATCACTCAAATGCATAAACCAAAACTTTGAAAGCCTGAGAAGCGTGACATAAGAGTAAAAACAAAGGATAACCAAAACAAAAATGTAATTCAAGGCCAATTTTTATAACTTCATGTGATCATTTGTATATTTGCAAAGCTTTTTAGAGCAAAAAGGCTCTGATTTGGTAATGAAAGAGACTCACTGCACTTCTCTGTCGAGGATGGATGAGTCGGAGTATCCACTGGTGTGATTAATGACAAAGTGTCTCTGATTCCAGGCAGAGTTATTCCTCACGTCCTCCTCTAATAGTTCCTCCACATACTCCAGCTCTCCATCCCACAGTTTATACTCCTGTGACACACAGAGATGGACCATGAACATGCATGCAGATCAGCAAACAGTTACACAGCACACTGGATCTGGATCTGTACCTGCATGACCCACTGTCTGTGCTGCCACGCGTGGTAGTTCTTGGCATCTTGACTAAGAATTTCTGCTACAAACTGCAGCTCTTCAGACGGCTCGTTCAGCCACTCCACCACCATCCGCCTGTGATGCCTGCAGATTTGCACAAATTGTTTAATAATCAATAATAAATAACAGGGCTTGACTTGTATGTACTTATAGTTTTTTATTAATATTTTTAATCTGTTTTTCTTAAATTTTCCATTTTTAATTTTCTTTGTGTGTGTGTGTTTGTCATTTTTAGTAGTTTGTGTGTATGTGGGGGGTATGTCTATATAGGTTTTATTAATTTTTATTTCAGTTTTAGCTTTAGTTATTTTAGTACATCAAGTTGAACTAAATTAAAATGAGAAATGGCAACTAGCTGAAATAAAAAAAGTTTATTGTATTGTATTATATTTCAGCTAACATTTATTTTATTTTAAACAACAAAAGTTTTTAATGTAAAAAAAACAACAACTTCTAAACATCAAACATTTATAATGCTTATTAATATTAGTGATGTTTGCTAAGGAAAGCATCACTTTTACTCAAACTTCACACTTATTTGTATCAAGAGGCTGAGGTAGACTTACCAGACTTGGTAGTTCTTGGGCTGATCCTCAATGATGGCTGTGATATACTTCATCTCTTCTCTCAGGTCTTTATCTAGAGCCTGCAGTAAAACTCTCCTGTAGTGCCTATAGACATCAAACACCACACTTTCATGTAGGATGCAAGTGACTTGCACTGACTTTGTAACTTTTTGCAGACCAAAGCAACCAGAAGACTTGCTGATTTTTAAATCTGTAGCCACTGCAGACTTGGTGTATGTGTTATGATTGTTTTGGAAAGAAATTAAAAGGATGCATTAAAGCTGATCAAAGGTGACAGTAAAGACATTTATAATGTTACAAAGTTTTCTATTTCAATTAAATGCTGTTTTTTAAACTTTCTATTCATCAAAGAACTCTAAAAATGTTTTATAAAAATAATAAATAAGCAGCAAATCAGCATATTAAAATGATTTCTGAAGGATCATGTGACACTGAAGACTGGAGTAATGATGCTGAAAATTCTGCTTTAAAAATGTATTAAAATAGAAAATAGTTATTTTGAATGGTAATAATATTTCACAATAACTCTTTTTTTTTAACTGTATTTTTGATCAAATAAATGCAGCCTTGTTAAGCATAAAATATTTAAAAAATCTTACCAAACACAAACTTTAAAATGGTAGTGCAGGTTTTCCATTAAAAATTCACCAGGACCTAACATATTCACATTTATATGTTAATTTAAATATCCGCTATCTCACCATACTGTGTAATTTGCAGCATTGAGGTCGATGGCTTCAGCGGTCAATGCAAACGCTCTCTCACTCTTCTCATCGTTCTTCAGAAGCGCTCTGAACATGTCAAACACGTCTGTGACTGCAGATGAAAAGCGTTCAACATGCTTGTCTTAACAAACGAACAACTGATAACATACAGTGAATAAAACAAACCCTGACAGCATGATTGGGTCTTGTATCGCACTGAATTGGTTTATTTTGTGATAATTACTGCTGACTGTACATTATCCCATTAACTGCATGGTTACTTAAATAAATCAGCATGAAACAGAGCAATGGATATGAGTTGTGGAGGAGAAAAGAGTGTGGAGTGATACGAAAGACATGAAAGAACTGAGAAATCAATGGTCTGAGACGATAATAATGTGTGATACTAAAAAAAGAACTGTTGTTGGTTCAAGCTTTATTGAATAAAAGACACTTACATTTCTCTGAATAAGCTATTTTCACGACAGGGTTTGGTCCATCATCTTGAAGAACGGGTTCTAGATCGGCCCACTCTTTTCTGTCCCTAAAATAGAAAAACAAGCACATTAAATAACAGTTTATAGAATTGCTAGTTAAATGGTCCAGGCATTTCACCAAGACTTCATAAAATGAACCTCTTTTGAATTAACAAAGCCAAATTTCTAGTGCACAAACAAGTGATTTAGTTCATATGCATCTCTTGAATGTGATATTACTCAAGATGACATTTATATCACAGAGTGTCAGCATTAAACTATCGAGTCAACAGAATGAATCAATAAAGAAAAAGGTTCATATGAATCTCTTAATTCTCAAAGACTTCTGCCAGTCTTATTTAGTTCATTTTAATCAACCAGAAAATGGATGATAACATCTATAACAGCTTTTTGGGCATATTACATTAGGCTCAATGTTCTGGATTCATCTCATGTGACTCAACCACCTAGAATGAATGAGCCAATGAATCAATGGTGAAAAACTACCTTCAGAAAACACCTTCTGTATGGTGGTACCTGGTAACTCAGGATTAAACAGACTTTTCCTGATCAGGATTTAAAAGACCTTCTTTAGCCCAGGATTACTTCTTCAGATGTGAATCACTCAGAAAATGAAAACTGCCATAAGAAAATATCTAATCTAGTGTTAAATTGGGATGAAAAGACTCCTTTAGTTCTGCTCTGTCTGGATTACACAGATTGTTTACATCCTGTTCAATTCTCGATTCAGTTCATATGAATGTTTAACGTATTGATTCAGCTCACGTGATTCTCTCAGAGAGCTAACATCAAAACACATCTGTAGTGATTATAGAGTGTTTACCAAGGATTACCCTATTAACTTAAACTTACTCACGATTTTTAAGGCATTTTTAATTCACATCTTGAATACGCTCCTGATTCCGTTCATGTAAATCACTCATATAAAACAAGCTAATACAGCTGCCTGCACACTGAAGTGCATTGCTTGTATGTCTAAAACGTTATTAAAAGCGGATGTCCCACACAATTAAATAATAATGAGATTAAATAACCATCTCTTACTGAAGTGATTAGCCGCACACACACTCGGTTATCATGCTAAGTAAGCTAGCTGCTAAACTAACCGGTAGAAGATATAACCTCCTTTAACAGGCTCCTCTACAGTGTTCTCCTCTTCCACTCCGTCCTCCTCCAAATTCTCCGCCACGGAGTTGGACATTTCTTCAACAGAAGACATTATAGAAACTGCACCTGGATAAATTAACTGTGCAGATGCAGAACTGAGCTGACAGACGCGTGAAGGCAGAGACACGTTTGATCAAGAACGGTTTCAAAATAAAAGCCTGTCAAAGTCGAGTAGAACAGAAACAGGACAGCACCAGGCAGAAAACATGGTGAAATGTAGAAATGTAGGAAATAATGGAGAAAACAAAAGTACAATATTATAAAACAATGTAATCTAATCAATAACTAAATCTAATATTATACATTTTCATATACACGCGCACACACACACACACACACACACACACACAC